CCCCATTCCTTCCTCTCCCCCTCCTCTCCACAACTTTCGCTCTTCTCGCCTCCGTCTCCTTACCAGCTATGAACCCTTGCGGCGCCATCGCCGCTCGAAGTCCCTCCTCGAGCTCATACTGCTCAGCAAAAAGGGAGGAGGAGAACATGCGTGTGAGAACAGGACGAGCATAAGGAGGAAAAGGATGAGAACAAAGAAGGCGAGAACAGGACGAGCACGAGCACGAGCACGAGCACGAGCACGAGGAGAAGGAGAAGGAGGAAGGAGGAGGAGAGCACCTGGTCGATTCCTTTCCCGACGAAGAAAAGCTTCGAGGCTAAACCAGCCCGAGCAGCGCTCTCTGCTACCGAGACTGAGTCCGCCAGGGCCGAGTGAGGAAGCTGCGAGCACCAGCAGGACTGATGAGCGCATGCGAGATACAGCGATGAGGAGAACAGAAAGAATAGAAGATGAGAAGAATAGCAGGAGGAGAAGCAGAGGCAGCAGCAGCAGCAGAAGCAGAAGCAAGCAAGCAAGCTAGAAGATAGAGCACCTTTGATTCACTTGTTATCAGCTCAATCTTGATGTCATCCTTGATAGCACTAATGGAGACCGTTCTGGTTAAAATCAAACTCATTTCCTTCCTCTCTCCATCCATCCTTCTCTCCCTCCCTCCCTCCCTCCCTCCCTCCCTCCTTCCCTCCCTCTTCAAATCTTTTTTCGAATCCAACTCCTGCTACTAGCGCTTCTCCCTCCCTCTCTTCCACTGCCAACATCGATCGCTGCTTCATGTCTCCTCCTCTCCTATTCAGCGCTCTCTCCTCCTACAAAGCACTCTGCCTTCCCTCCTCTGCCTTCCCTGCTCTCACCTCAAGTGCGGTTTCTCAAACGAGCTTGCGTACGTCGCAACGTCCTCTGGAAGATCCTCATACGAAACCGAGAGGAAACCTTTGATCTCCTCCACCCTCCCCTCCAGCAGCACGCGATCGATCCACTCCCTTGCCCTCGACCAGATCACTCCCCCCTCCTCCTGTACGCATGCCGTCTGATACGTTTGATCGTGACCCTCAAGGTTTACTATCTGCACCAGCCTTTCGTAGCCGTCGTCGTCGCATGCCCCGCACGGAAGCTTGTCCTGCGATCGGTCCCTCTCCGCCTCCATCAGCCTCGACCACCCCATCCTCCCTCCTGTCTCCGCTTCCATCAACCGGATTCCCTCGTTCAACCTCCTCGCCGCGACCTTGACCTGCTCTAGAACAAGCCTCCGATCCTCCTCCTGCAGCTTGTCCAGCTTGTTGAGCAGGAGAGTGTCGGCGTTTCTGACCTGCACGCTAGCCTTGCTGAGCTTGTTGAGAGGGACTGGCTCTGCCAGCTGCTGCTCTATCCTCCCCGCATCGGCAACGCACACGACGCGGTCAAGGCGGAAGGAGGAGACAATCACGGGGTCAACGCACAGCAACCGGATGAAGGGCCTGGGATCGGCCAGTCCGGTGCTCTCGATGATGAGGTGGGAGTATCCTGCTGTAGCCATGTGAGGGATCCTCTCCACCAGCTCCCTCGTCAGGTCCCCGTCCGGGCTGCAGCAGATGCAACCGCTCCCGAAGTCGAAGACCTGGCAGAAGTGAGCGAGTCGAGGGTCCGAGGGCAACATGTCGGAGGGGATGGGGGGCTGAGAGTCCAGCCCGAAGGACTTTGCATGCTGGTGGATGCAAACGATGCAACGAGCGTCTTGAGGGAGCGACGAGAGCAGCGACCTGACCAGCGATGTCTTGCCGCTGCCCGTCATGCCGGTAACGAGACAGCATGAAACTCTCCTGTCCTCCTCAGCGTCCGTTGGCATGCCGTGCCCAACACACCCGACTCCACACGCCATGGCTGCAAGACTAGCCGGGGACTTGTGCTGATGGCACTCCCAGAGCCTGCTATTTCACATTAATCACATGCACATGGTAATAGCTGTTGTTTCCCATCCCTTGAACATCGAATTTACGTGAACACTGAAAAGTTACAATCAGCTACTATCATCATCTCATCGCTATCATCATCTCATCGCTATCATCATCTCATCGCTATCATCATCTCATCGCTAGCATCATCTCATCGCTATCATCATCTCATCGCTATCATCATCTCATCGCTATCATCATCTCATCGCTATCATCATCTCATCGCTATCATCATCTCATCGCTATCATCATCTCATCGCTAGCATCATCTCATCGCTAGCATCATCTCATCGCTATCATCATCTCATCGCTATCATCATCTCATCGCTATCATCATCTCATCGCTATCATCATCTCATCGCTATTATCATCTCATCGCTATCATCATCTCATCGCTATCATCATCTCATCGCTAGCATCATCTCATCGCTATCATCATCTCATCGCTAGCATCATCTCATCGCTATCATCATCTCATCGCTATCATCATCTCATCGCTATTATCATCTCATCGCTATCATCATCTCATCGCTATCATCATCTCATCGCTATCATCATCTCATCGCTATCATCATCTCATCGCTATCATCATCTCATCGCTATCATCATCTCATCGCTATCATCATCTCATCGCTATTATCATCTCATCGCTATCATCATCTCATCGCTATCATCATCTCATCGCTAGCATCATCTCATCGCTATCATCATCTCATCGCTATCATCAATCGTCTGTTTTCATCTTCGTCTGAGCCAGCTTTTTCCAAGATCACCGTAGTTAAAAATGCTGCCCGGGCCGGGACTCCGGCTTTGGCCGCCGCACACTGAGTCGGAGCCGGCCGGGCCGCGCCCCTGGCCGGCCCGGGGACGCGGCGGGCCCGCCGGCCGGGCCGGGCGGATGATCGGATGACGGATGATCGGATGGCCGGGCGAGTCCGTACGGTACATCTGTTAGCAATTATTTCACTTTATTATTGAATCGTTTGGAGATTGATCAATCGAAGTAAAGCGCCCTTCTCGAAGCTTAATCAGCACAACTTAGTGACTTGTCGGCCGGTAGATGATCTTATTGAAAGATCACGAGGGCCGGAGCTTGATAGCATCTCAGAGGCGCGGCCAGGGCCGGCGCCCCGGGACGGTTATTTACACTCGGAGGCTTGTGACGGCATGATAGCGCATAGGCGACCATAAGGCTTCTCAAACCGAAGAATCAGGTGCTGGTGTTTTATCCTCCTGCCAAACTTCGTTAGTGCTCCACCACAGTGGATTCTGATTCTGTCACCGTCGAGCGCATGTTGCAATTAGACAAATCTTGCTTTTCACTCGATGCCATCGGATCCAGCGTGCGTTGCTACAGCAGCAGAGTCATCTCAGCACGATATTGCAAGCAGAATCGTCAAATCTTACCCTGGACTGGACATCCCGGAAAGAGTAACCTCCCCTGCTGTAGAAGGAGTATGTTCCCCACGCCCACAATCCAAGCACAATATGCCCCGCCGTTATGAAGCCGAGCGAGAAGACTCCAAATGAGATAAAACCGGCGGAAAAGAAGCCAAAGCTGACGAATCCCGTGGACACAAGACCTAGCGAGCCGACGAGTCACCGAGCAGTCGACAACAAACATCATTTATCTCACCAATGGAGAAGATTCCAAAGCTAACTGAAGATCCGCAAGTAAAAACACCTGTACTGACCGTGCCCGCACTGAAGTATCCTGAGCTTGATTGCCCTGAAGAGAACATACGATTCGTTGACGTCGCATTTGCCTCTGAGTTACTCGAGTGCGTCGATCCGCCCACAATCCCGCCAACAAAGAATAAAAGCATGACAACAAATGACGTGAGGAGAAGCACTTTGATCCAAACAGAGGGATAGCGTGCCTTGACAGCAGGGCCGGATGGGGATGATGGAGGCTCCGCTTTTTTCGTGTCACCTGGATGGGCAACGGTTTCTTTCCCCTGGTTATCCTCATACTTCAATGCCGAAGAAGGGAAAGGCGTCTTGGTCGGATTCTCAGTTGGCTCTTCCTCAAAGTAACGATTCTTCTGCTCGCCCACTGTCGTATGAGCAGGAGAATCAAACCCCTGCGTGTGCACAGGCGTCGAGAACTGGAAAGGGTGCTCGTTTGTCGCTGCCTTGGGGGTTCTCCCTCCTCTCCTCCTCCTCCCTTCTGGCTTTGTTGGGGTAAGTCCAACAACTTCGCTTCCAACCTCCAACTTCGATCTCGGGCTGTGCACTTGCAGCTCGGACACATCAGCCCTCCCATTCACCGAGCTTGTTTCGTTGTTTGACATCACAGAGTATCCCTTACAAGTTTGTCCTTGGGCTCAAGCAATCCCGCAAGCTCTACTCAGATCATGATCCTGTTACACTTGTTGTCAAGATAAGTCATGGCAACATGAGCTCTACGTAATGAACTGTGGTTGAGGGGCAAGGGTAGCACATGATGGGACGGGCGATGAACAAGGTAGACAATGAAATAGGCACATATTTGAGATAAAAATGTCGAGCTTTTGACTGAAATGAGAATGTAGGTCATCGATTGACATTGGGGTTGAAACCAGGAAAGTGGCATCGTTGAGAAAGACAGAGGAGCGCTACAAGTGAAACTGAGCGAGAATATCTGCAGGATACAAGAAATGCACAGCGTTCATCAAGAAGAATGCGGCTCTCAAATCTGTTCTAATTTCTCGCATCATCTCTTCCGTCTCCTTCCCCATCTCTCCTCCCCTTCCTTCCCATCCCTCCCTTTCCCTCGCCTGTTCGTGCATAACAACCTGAATGGCGCCATTTGCAACTGTATACAGCCACCCCTACCCCCTACACAGTCGCTATTTGCCGCCTACCCGTCAGGACTCTACCCCCTACCCCCCTTATGGAGATAATTATTTCCACTCTAGCTTTTGGAGCAATAAAAAATAGATATTTTTCTGATATCAATATTTATTTGTACCAGATGGAAGCAAAATTGTAAACTTTGCCATATATATTTGTCAGAGTTTACAAATCTTTCACCCCACCAGCATTCAAATTCGAATTCAGGGATACCCACCTTCCTTCAGCGACCCCACATACATAGTACCCTCCACATGACCTCATTTTACCCCACCCTTTCCCTTCCTTTCACTACCTCAACCCGCATAATCAAAATCAACTTCACCACCACCCCTCTTATTCCTTACCAAGTTCGGTACCACTTTTGAACCCCCACCCCCCTATTAGGCAATCAAAAATCTCAAGTGTACCCCTCCAACCTCTCTCCGTACGAATTTGTACCCCTACCTCTACCACTACCATCCTTGTACAAGGATACCACTACCATCCTTGTACAAGTCGTGACCACCGGTCCACACACCCTCAAGTCAAACTTGAAAACCTGTGCCAGCCTAGAGGCTGTTTTTCCCGCCAAACCGTGAGATCGCCGGGACCGGTTCCGGGACCGGACCGTACTTGCCGCGCCGGGCGAGTCACCGTAGTGAGCGCGGCCCGGCCACCGAGTCCGAGGGGCCGGGGCCGGGGGCCGCCCCCACTGCCACTGGCCGCCCGGCCGCCCGGCAGCCCTCCGCCTCGGACCGTAGCGGCCGGACTCCGGGACCGCCAGTGACAGTGCCGCTGTGCGCGGCCGCCCGGCCGCACCCGGCACCGTAATCCCGGCGATTAGTCGGATTCGGATTATCATGGGGCCCGGGCGGCGGGCCCGGGGGCGGCGCCGGATCACCCGACTGTCACAGAGTCACGCCAGGCCTCGCCGGCCCGCACTGCCGCACTCAGATGGCACCGTCACACTGGCACTGCGCCGGCCCGCTGCGGCCCGGGCCGCTGAGCGGCCGGGCCCCGGGCCCGGGGGGCCGGCGGGCTAGGCAAAGTAGACGGCGCCGGGCCGAGCCGCGAGCCGGGCCGCCGGGCTCCGACGGAGGAGGCTCTCAGCCTTTCCTGGCACTCCGACGAGGCTCACCGGCGGTCGGGTCGGCGGGCCGCCCCGCCGTGACACTCAGTGACTGAGGGCGGCGCTTGCCACTTGCCACCGTTCAACGGTTGTCAGGCAAGTTCACTGAGTCAGTGCCCCGGGCCGGCCGCAACCGTTGAACGGCGCCGTCCCGCCACCGGCGGGCCCGGTCCGACGTAGTCGAGTAGAGATCGCCGACTAGTGGCGGGCGGCCGGGCTGCAGAGTCACACGGTGCCCGGCCCCCGGGGGCCGGCTGACGGCGGACGTCCGGAACCGTCCGTAAAGTGCCCGAACGGCCATTGAAACCCAGTTCCGTTTTAACTTTGAATGATCTGCGAATATCTCGAAGTTGAGGAGGAATTTTGAAATCAAATTGAAGCTCTTCAAAATCATGTACTCCGAGCCGCCCCCCGGGACGCCAACTACAATTTAAAAGCTAAGTTAAAAAAATAGTCCATCCGTTTTCTCGTGCTGCCCCGTGTCGTCCTTGGTGACAGAGTTACCCGGTGCTTTACGAAAGGTCAGGAGATGGACCTGCACTCTTTTACTTAGAGACAGACCTATCAAATCGTTTGCCTCAAGAGCTCAGAAACTCACTAGTAAATTTGCAGAGTAACTTCAATTCCTTTCACCACCGCTGACTCCACTGGTTTAGTTTTTATATTGGACCGGCGCGGCACTGGTCTCCAAGCGTTGCAGCTTGACCGGAGGGTGTGTGATAATGGGATCCGTGAACAACCTTCAAGGAGTCGAGGCCCGAGGCTGACCTCCAAAACTCTCACTTTCAGGAAAAGAGATATTTCGATTCTTTACTTAAGTTTTTTTCTGGTACCTTACGGCTCTGAGGACGTGAGACAAATATCCTGCAGGTCCTAGGGACTTTTCTAGCAGCTGTTTGAAAGATGTGGTTTGGTCCTAGCATGTCTTTGAATTCAGTACCAGTACTGTTATAAAGAGGTCCTAGAAAGACAAGAGACCCCAACGAAAGTCGCAATCTCGAAATTGGAGGCGGTATCCGTGTCACAAGGGTACATTGACAATGGTAAAGTTGGCAGTCATCAACCCCATTCCCTGCACAAAACAACCGAGATCCATTCAAATATACCTTTATTTCGCCTTAATTAAAACTCTTTAAGTCACATCCAGGTTATTCTGCTTGGTCACCCTGCGCCAACTTTTGAATTAAAAGGAAGATTTGGTCGTGAGGGGGTCGCTGCCTTGTTTCAGCCCTACCCTGTTGGTGTAACACGCTCCTTGAACTCTGCACCACCCCCGTTAGCACCCCGACTGACCCCCATGAATATCACGGGACCTTACAGCAAATGTTCAGATGAGGGGGTAGGGGTGGTGGGTTAACGCGGCGGAGTCCAGGGCCGTGAAGGGGAGAGAGGTCGCCAAGCAAGAGGAAGGAGCGGAGGAAAAGAGCTCGAGGTGCGACGAGAGGAAAGAGGAGGAGAAAACAAGTTGAGAGCGCGAGGGCAAGAGGATCAGTGCAAGCAATGTCCTTCTTCTCCTCCTGAGACGACCTATCTCCAGCAAGAAGCATGCAGTCGCAGTCACATCAAACAACCGGAACTTTTGCATCTGGGCGCTCTGGTATCAGCATGACCCCGATCTTGAATCAGAACCACTCCAACATCTGGCCAATGCAGCAGGACCAGACCCAGCAAGCAAACAATCCCATCAGTTGGTGCAGCAGTGCCAACTCAATCCATCCCCAGCTCTCGGGCCTGATGAACGCTGGCGGTTCAACGATTCAGCTCAATAACTTTTCGCTTCACTCAGGACAGAACGCGCTGAAAGATTACAAGACGGTAGGGCTGAGCCCAACAGGCTCCTCCACCTGTCTAGGACTGCCTTTTGTTCCCATGTCCAATGGCTCTAGCCTCCTTGCTACGAACCTCAACGTCAACCAGAGCAGCCCCAAGAATTCCGCGCAAGCCCTCGTTCAGAACCAGATCCTGCTCTCCAACATTGCTGCATTGATGAAGCGCGCTCAAGACAATGTGCAGCTGTCTCCATCCAACGCATCCATCTCCTCGGCGAAATTCCCCTCCTTACCCAACACCAACTTCGTTCAGCAAGGTGAACAACGTACGATGGGACTCCCAGTGCCCCCGAGCTCCCAGGCATGCAACTTCTCAACCATGGTTGATGTCAAGCACCAGATCCCCGCCTCAGCGCCTCTGCAGGGAACTGACGTGAACGGGTACGACAAGAAGAACGATGCTGCTGGCGACACGAAGATGGCACGGGCACGGGAGAAGCAAGGGAACAAGTGGCAGAAGGAAGCTGCTTCTCACAGATCGAGATCATTGTCGTTCTCACATGTCGGGCAAGCTAATCAGGTCATCTCTTTCCGATACTTCCTAGAGGAGGAGCAGAAGAAGGGAGTCCTGAAGCTCGACATGCTCGCTGGTTCGGATGTGAAAGCGGAGCCGGGAGAGGAGCCCGGGGAGCGAGAGAACCCTCTTGGGATCAGAAAGATGGAAATCTACGATGTTGACAGGTGGTGGGAGGACGTCAAAATGTGGTTCGAGGACGACCCTGAGAAATTCTGCCTGCGCGCTTTCTTCATGATGCTCCGGCGGCTGGGTCTGAAACCCTTCAACAAGGCTCCTGCTCCAGCTAACTCTGGGCTCGACTACGGGCTGAGGTGAGAATTACCGTCTATCTCTCGTTCTTTCTCGTCCTGACTTGCGCTGCTCTGTCTTGCAGGAATCGAACGGCTCGGCGCCATGGATATCAGTACGACCCTGAGGTGTACGAGCGATACTGTCAAAGCCGTAAGGCGATCCTCAAGAGACGGCAAGCTGCGCTTGAGAAGCCTGTCAAGTCAGAAGGTTGCTCTTCTGACAACTCCTGAACATTGGAATGAAGCTAGGAAGTGTACCATGTGATCTTGTAAATTTTGTTGAGTTGTAAAGGAGAAGCTTTAAACTCCCTTCATCTGCTCCTTTGCAGTCTTTTCGCTGGGCTTGACGGCCGCTAGCGCCTTACCTTGACTGTCCTCTACCTTACGTGGACCACCATAGGAGGCTTTCTCAAAGTCGTCCTCTGAAAACTCCTGCGCTGCTGTGCGGACGGCACCTACATCACCGGTCACGCCCGGACAGACGGAAAGGAGCTCACGAGAGTGGAGGAAGCGAATCTCGTCGCCATGAGAGATGGACAAGGCACGGGGCCCCCAGCCGAGGAAGATGAAGCCGTTTCCAAGGAGAAAGAGGACAGACTAGTCACGCCAGTCAAGAACAGAATTGCACAGGAAGGGAAGAAGGGCAGCAAGAGCAGCAACTGCAACGGAGAGGAGCAGCTCGACGGCGGGCGGAGGGGAGCAGGAGGAGGTGACATGTAGAGGACCTTGAGTACTTTGTTCTTGAAGACGACGCACTTCTGCTCGCCAAACATCTTCTCATACACCACCCAACGGCCAAGCTCGATGCTCCGGTCTGTGCCAGGGGTCATGGCGGCAGGGATCTCAAGGGCTCGAGACTTGCTGCAGGGAGGAGGAGGTCCTGGAGCGTCTTCTGCATGTTCGTGCTGACGACAGAGAAGTGAGAGGAGGAGCGCGAAGAGACTGGACCCACCCCTTGTGCTTCAACAGCCTCTCGAGCACCTGCTCTAACGGTGTCAGTCTCACCGCCAGGACCGGAGGGAGGGACCTTGGGCGCCCTCGTCTCGTTGTGAGGATAGAATCCCTGGGAGTACCGAGTGGATGGAGACAGGAGGAGATAGGAGCATGAGTCACGGACGCGCGGCGAGTGGGAGCAAGGCACCTGTACGACCTTGGAAGAGCTGAAGCAGTACATGACTGGCGCTCCGACACGCTGGGTGAACCTGATCCACCCGACGTTGTCCTCCCTTGGTCAGGGCGTCAACAGCAGCCATGGTGGAGGAGCAGTTGCAGCTGCAGTTGCAAGAGCACGTGCAGTTGCAGGGGCAGTTGAAGGAGAAGGGGCAGGGGCAGGGGCAGGGGCAGGAGCAGGAGCAGGAGCAGGAGCAGGAGCAGGAGCAGGAGCAGGAGCAGGAGCAGGAGCAGGAGCACCAGATCTCGATCAGCAGGAGCAGGAGCAGGAGCAGGAGCACCAGATCTCGATCACAGTATGGAAGAAGGAGTGATGCAACACCTGCGTAGCTTTCAGACCTCCTCGAGGTGTTGGGACGTACCGTGTAGTTGTTGTTGCGGGGGTAGTCGGGGTCAGGGTCTGAAGGAGGGATGCCTTGCCCTCTCTTTGAGGCCATAACTGAGAGCTGGAACCCCGCGAGAGCACGCACCTCGTATAGCCAAACGTTCTCGGGGAGGAGCATGGGGAAAGATCCCCGACGATTCTCCTCTTGGACTAGGAACCATCATCTCCTTGTGACTGAGTGGGAAGAGGAGGAGGGTTGTTTTACCGAAACATTGCTGAACAGTTCTCATCTGCTGCTTCTCCCATTCCGTGCTCTCTATCTCCTGCATGAGACGTAAGCATCTCTCCCCGAGGACAAGACGCACCCCCTACCTCAGCGACGGGCGATTCAGATCTCTCTTCCTCCTGATCCAAGTCTCCCTTGTGCTCCGACTGCAACACCATCAACACGCACTCAAACTCTCACAGTCGCACACTTTGAACTCGTCTCTCCTCAACAACTCTGACAGCTCCTCCAGCGAGTAGTTCGCTGACTGACAAGACCGTCACCGGCATCACAAACTTCACTCGTCAAGCCACCAGCTCCTTCAAATGGTCTTCATAATCCATCCTGACGACTCTTGTGACCGTACAGCAGGTAGCAATCATGCTCACCCAAGTATCTGCTTGAATGTCTCGGTTTCATCCTGCTCATTTCTGTCATGGTGGGGCACGGGCATGTAGCTGACAACCTGCTCTTCTCTAGCTGGACTTGAGCTCTCACTTGTTCCTCGCAGACCCTTCAGAGGCACGAGCTTTGATGGAATCTTGAGGATCAAGTGAGGACGGCAGGCAGGAAGACACTCAGTCTTACCCTTCCTCTCTTCTTTTTCAGCTGGGGAGTCGCCGCGAGCTCAAGAGGAGTCGACGAGTTGGTGTCAAGAGATCGTTTCAGCTGATGGCTGGGGGTGCCTGCCGACCTCGTCCCGGCAAAGATGCAGAGCAGGAGGAGGATGCAGAAAGAGCTAGACCTGCGCTCCCGATGGAGTCGAGCCATGGCAGGGATCAGGGGGCACGTGACTCTTGGTGGAGTGTTGCATGCTACGTGCCTTCACTGTTACCTCTGCTGTCTCGAGCCTCCACTCCTGCTCCGACCCTCGCTGAGCCGTGGCTCCGCAAGTTCAGCATCCTTGAATGGCCTGAAAGATATCTAATCAAACCTCCTCTTCCTCCCTCTATTCCTCCCTCTCCTTCTTCCTCTCCTCCTCCCTCTCCTCTCCCTCTCCTCCATCCTCCCTTCTTTCCTCTTGGCCATTGTGCCCACTGATGCCCTCATCGCTGCAACGAATCCTTCGAATGAATTCCACCGTCCGATTCTACTTTCTTGCTCTCCTCCTCGCTCCTCCTTTCTGCTGCTCTCTCTCCTTCTCCTCTGCTCTCTGTCCCTCACCTTATCCCCTCCATCTCTTCCCTCCCCTCCTCTTCTCTCCTCCATCCCTCCTCTCCGCCTCCTCCTCGTCTCTCTACGTCGCATTGCGACTGCTCGCCCATGGCAGCCGCTGCCGTGGGCCGCTGCCTTGAAAAAAAGAGCTGAGGCGGACTTGTGTTCTTCGCGACAAAGTCGGTCATGTAGAAGAGGAGCGAGGGAGAGGAGAGGATAGGGGAGAGGGGAGCAGAGCAGAGGGGAGCAGAGCAGAGCAGAGGGGAGCAGAGCAGAGCAGAGCAGAGCAGAGCAGAGCAAAGCAGAGCAGAGCAGAGGGGAGCAGAGCAGAGGGGAGCAGAGCAGAGCAGAGCATAGCAGAGCAGAGCAGAGCAGAGCAGAGCAGAGCAGAGCAGAGCAGAGCAGAGCAGAGCAGAGGGGAGCAGAGCAGAGCAGAGCAGAGCAGAGCAGAGCAGAGCAGAGCAGAGCAGAGCAGTGAGAAGGAAACAGAGGAAGGTGCAGAGAGGAGAGGATAGGGGAGAGCAGAGCAGAGCAGAGGAGAGAGCAGAGCAGAGGGGAGGGGAGGAGAGGAGAGGAGAGGAGAGGATGGAAGAGAGGAGAGAAGAGCAGCGAGGAAGGGACGGGGAATCATGGCAACAATATCAGAGCTCGTCGTTATGTGAAAGGATTGAAATGCATTATGCAGAGGATCTGGAGCCCTTTGATAAAGCATGAAGGACCCGACAGCCGCCGTCTCTTCAATCGTCAAACTCTTCGAGCTTGTGAGTTCGGATATCCTCTCCCTTTCCGCCACATGAATCCCCTCCTTCCTCTTCTTTCCCTCTGTCCTCTCCTCTCCCCACTCCTGCCATGTCCTCTCCCCACTCCTGCCATGTCCTCTCTTCTATCCACTCCTGTCACCTCCGCCCCCACCCCTTCCCGTCTTTTACCCTCCCCTCCCCATTCCTCTTCTTGAGTGTCCTCTTCGCTGCCTTCATTCTTTTCCCCACGTGACATCGAACTCTCCAGTACATCGGAAACAAATCTTGTTTGAGCACGAGACAACGTGAAATCTTAAGAGATGTTGTCCTCCGGTTGTTCACGCTACAAAAAGTCACTTTGACCTTCACCAAAGGAGAGTTGCGCAAGGTGAAGAAAGTGAAAAGGAGGATGGTGATGATGGTTGAGAGGGGGGAAATTTCAAATTATGGTTGTTACAATGCCGTATCACGATCACGATCACGATCACGATCATGATAGTGGTGTTGGTGGTGATAGGGATGACAACGACGATGACTGGGATGGTTGTGATGATCTGATGATGATCTGATGATGATCTGATGATGATCAAGATGGAGATCGATCACTGACAAGGTGTGCAGGATCTCAGTTCGCCGCGAGGAGAGCTGGGTCCAGGGTATCTCTCAAAGCTGATGAAAGCAACGCGAGCAGCCTTAGGAGAGGACTTACACTGGAGCTTGCGGGAGACTTCAATGCAGGACTTCTTGCAAGGTTCTTGATACTGCTCTCCCTCCTTGCCAGCTAGTGACGCTGTGAGATGTAGAGGATGCAGATGAGAAGCAAGGGTTCGAGATTGTCGTCCTGGTTGTCGAACGAGGTGATATCATCTCACCCCTCTCCCTGTCTTGCTCTTCCCTGCGTCGTGTGGAGGATCGCGGGCTGTGCTGACGCCATAAACCCCCTGCTCCAGGTCGCTGGTCGGTGTCGGACGAATCGGTTGAGAAGCTGCTCGCCCTGCTGAGACATCCCTCATCGAGATCGAAACTCTCTGTGACGCTTCTTCTCCTCCTCACCCCTTCGTGACGCGGCTGGCGCGCAGGTGTTGGTCTGCTTTCCGGATCGTGAGGAGAGCAGGTTGGGGGAGGAGATGGAGCTGTTTGACCTGCAGGTCTGCTGAGATACCACAAGGGATGTAACGTGACTAGTGATGTTTGCAGTGCTTTCATGCGGCACAACACATGCAAGGCTGCTATGCGCCATGGAAAAGCGTCAGGTTGCGATGATGTTTTACGGCTTTTGGTGTGATGGAGTTGGCGCTCAGGGACGAGCTGGAATGGAAGGTGACCAAGCGCGGGTGTCTGCACTCCCCTGGCAAGGGTTCTCCTTATGCTGGAAGAGTTCTCCTGCCTGAAAGGTGCGAGGATGGAGAGAAGAAGAGACAGCAGGACAGCCGTCGGGATGGAGGAGAGGGAGAAGGAGGGAGGAAGAGGGGGATGGAGAGGACGAGGACGAGGACGAGGACGCAACAAGTCCCCTTACGGTCCCCTCAGGTTTGACGATCGCGTCAAAATCCTGTCGGCCCTGTTGGAGCTGAGGTACCTCAAGTCAACGACCTGGCGAAGTTTGTCCGAGTGGCTAGCGACTTTGACAGCCGAGCTGATACCCCAGCTGAAGACCCTGTGCGATGTGGACGAGGTGGGAACTGTGATGTCCTGCGGGCGTGAGGAGGTGAAGAATGTGCAGGAGGAAGGCTTCATCGTGTGGAAGGAGGAGGAGTCGCTACGGACCTTCGGGTCTGCCCTGACGTGCTGCTTCTTCCTATCCCTGATCCTCCTCCTCCAGACTCGCTGTGGAAGAGTTTAGCACGGGAAGCCTCTCGTTCGATCCCACGACCTTCGATCGCTTGTGTGCTGGTGGCGTCGGGTCGGCAGAGGTGGGGGAGGGGAGCAGGTCGAGGGTCGTTGAACTGAGTTCTTCTTCACAGGCTCTTGTCTGCCGCATGTCCAGACTTGGTGTCGTTGACATGACAGCTGTCCTCGATGTCCTCCCTCCCGGCGACCACCCGCTCTTCGCAGCGTCAGGCTACAACATGCGGCTGGTGGGGATGGCGCAGCAACGAGACAGAGAGGAGGGGATGCGAGAGCTCGTCCTCCTCCTCCTCCCAGCTGTCTTGGATGCTCTCAATGACGTCTGCCTCGAAGACTTCATCCTCTCTTCCGACTTCGCTTCTCCTCGCCTTGTCCACGAGCCGCTGAGGGTCTGGCACGAGCTGTGGAACGAGCTGGGCCGACATGTTTGCGGCTTGACTGAGCTGGGGGACAAGGCGATTCTTGGGGAGACGCTAACGCTGTTGAGAAGCACCTTGTCCGACGTTTACTTCTTCCACTTCCATCAAGACTTGGAGAGCGACGAGCTGCCGATGGTGACGTGGCACGTCAACGTCAACAAACCGACGAGATCTGCCGCTATCGCCTCCCCCCCTGACGTCTCTTCCCCCGAGTCGCCGTCCGAGCCGCGGGCAAGGGGGGGAGGCTTGAGACCTTCCTTGGGCCCTGGTAGGAGCGACAAGTTCGGCTCTTGCTGCGTGCTCTGTCTTGAGATCTGTTGCAGGCCCTGATGCTGCTGCTCACGATGCTAAGGAGCAGCGAACAGAGGCGACGAGCTTCCTGTCTTACCTCAAGGAGCAAGAGGCTGCGTTCACAGCATGGCGATCGGAACGAAGATACGCGGAGAGTGTGGAGCAAGGGATCAAGCAATCGGTGCAGGCTAGCTCAGAGAAACTGGAGTCTCTGAGAACGACAGGCTGGACGAGTTTCATCTCTTTCCTCGGGACGTTGGCCACATCCACCTCGAATAAGGACGACGAGGGGCAGGGGAACAAGCGGGAAGAAGTGAAGAGAAGAGCAGGTACAGCGAGAGGAGTAGGAGGAGGATGGGGAGGGAAAGAAAAAGAAGGAGCAGGAGGGGGAAGAGGACTCTGAAAACTTTGTCTCAGACGTTGGAAGGATGTCAACGCCGGTGAGGAAGAGGAAGGTGGAGGAAAAGCCCTGCGAGCACGCTGGCCGTCAGACCACCAGGGTCAAGTCACAACCTCCTCCTCAGCACTATCGTAGGGCAGCAGGAACGTCAGCGGGAGCCTGACGCTTCTGCTGCAGGTTCAGTCCTTGGCATCGTCATCGCCGTGAAGATCCTGCGAGGGTCGGAGCTGCACGTCGAAGTCGTGCGGGTGGTGCCGGGAACGTCGGCAGGACTGATGGGAGAGATAGCGATCGGAGACAAGATCATGCAGATCGAGGGGAGGCGAATCGAGGAGATCTGCGGGGGCAAGCATGTGTCGATGAGTCAAGCCGTCAAGACTGTGAAGCAGGTGAAGCAGTGATGGAGATTAGGAGGAGAAGGAAAAATGTTTCGGGGGATGGAAGTGAACATGATCAAGGGGGAGGGGGAGGAGATGGAGACGGAGATGGAGATGGAGATGATTGGTATGACGATGACGACGCAGTTTCTATACCTCGATCGCGACAGAACTCATCTAGAAATTCTCACCTCCGACGGGTAAACTTGACATGTAAGAGCTCTCGACTCATCCCAGACCCCAGCCGCGAACGATCCATCGCCATCCCCCGCCGCCCTCCCCTCATCCCCGCCATCATGAGCAGGCAGCATGGGGAGTTCGGCATCCTGTTGGGAGCCAAGGACGATCGGGTGTACGTGCGGGGGGTAAGAACAAGAGGGACTGGAGCTCGAGAACGTGCTGACGCGGCCTTCAGGTCCGGGTGGGGAGCTGCGCATTCTTGAAAGGGATGCGGAGTGGGGTGGAGGTCAGAGCGATCAACGGGAGGAAGAGCGAGGCAGCAGCTGTGAAGGAGTACAACGCGATGAACAAGGGTGAGCTAGGAGATCTCTTGCTGCGCCTTGATGACATCAAGTCACGTCAGGACTTGTTGGGTACAGGATGCGAATCGAGGTCAGACCTTGGAAGGACTGGGATGCAGAGGAGGAGCAGGAGGAGGAGGAGGAGCAGGAGCAGCAGCGCTTTGAGCTGATTCGATCTGTAGTCTTGCAGCAAGAGCAGATAGAAATCGCCGCCGATGCACCAGAGGTCGGGAGCAAGCAGAAGTCTTACCAGAGACAACCTCAGGAGGAGGGAGCGGAGGAGGAGTTGGGGGGCTGGGAGGGGAACGAGGAGAAAATGAATGGACCTGGCGGTTCACAGCAACAATACTCGAGGATCAATCAAATTGATGGTGGAAGCATTGAACGTGGAACAGGCAACCGTGGAGCAGAGACTCCTAATGAAAGAGGAGGAGGAGGAGCAGGAGGAGGAGCAGGAGGAGGTGTAAGAGAGGTAGCAGGTGAAACACAATTTGAGGAAGGAACAGCTTGGAGGACAAAGGAAGCATCCAAGAACACCATAGCACGAGAGCAGATCGAGCGAGATGAAGATGATGATGACAGCAAGCAGGGGGGGGCTGGTCCAACAGGAGGGAACAGAGGCGGGGGAGGAAGAAGTGACGACTCGCGACGAGCAGGCGAGAAGCAGGAGAGAGAGCGGACATCAGACGTAAATCACGAGACAGGAGGAGGAAGAGCAGGAGAAAGCGGGGGTCATCGAGAAGTGACAGCAGCACCAGCAGCCATCACAGCACGAGGCTCTGGGGTAGCAGGCTCAGCTCCAGGAGGTCACGGCAAGGACCAGAGACCCGCCGCCGGGAGGGGGGAAGGCAGCATGCAAGCGGCAGGGCAGGCGGAGGGGAGGGGGAGACAAGGGGCAGGAGCCGAGGCCAAGACAGATGGAGGAGGGAGCAAGAGAGGAGCTCAACAAGAGAGCGCAGGAAGAGGTGCAGGCGGAGCAGACGCCAAGGTGGGAGGATCCAGGCAGAGCGAGCAGGGCGGGTCTGCTGGGAGAGGAGGGGGCAGGAGCTGGGGGGGTGCCAGCGACGACTTGGGACGAGCAGGCGAGGAGCAGAGGGAGAGGAAATGGCAATCAGACGTCAACGAGACAAGAGAACACGGAGGAGGAAGAGGGGGCAGAGAAAGAGAGACAGGAGGAGGGGTTCAACGAGGAGGAGGAACAAGAGGAGGAGGAGGGGGCAGAGAAAAAGAGACAGGATGGGGGGGGAGAGGAGGAGGAGGAGGTTCGAAAGGAGGGAGCAGAGGAACTGCAAAAGAAGACTCGGAACGGGCAGGCGAGCAGGGAGACCGTCTAGCAGAAGTCAACGACGATACAGCCGGAAGAGGAGGAGAAGGAGGCGGAGGCGGAGGTGGAGGTGCAGGAGGAGGAGGAGGAGGAGGAGGGAGCGAAAGAGGAGAGGGGGGAAGAAACGATCTCATGACAAGTGACATCAGAGAAGAACGAGGGGGTCGACGAGAGGCAACAGCAGGCAGCATGCAAGCGGCAGGGCAGGCGGAGGGGAGGGGTGGACAAGGGGCAGGAGCCGAGGCCAAGACAGATGGAGGAGAGAGCACGAGAGGAGCTCAGCAAGAGAGCGCAGGAAGAGGTGCATGCGCTGTTCCAACAGGATCAGCTCGAGACAGAAGTGAAACAGCATGGTGTGATTTCATTATGTTCGTCCTATGATAGCCTACCTGACTATTCCTGAAGCCCCTCTGCCGGTATTGAGACCTTGCCGGGTAGATCAGGTGGCTCCACTTGCTGAGATCCTGCAGCTGACGTTTGTGTCAGGGAGCTCTAGGAACGAGCGTGCGAGCCTGTCTCCTCCCTCTGTCTGACTCGATCGCAGGATATGAGTTCTGCTCTCGTGGGAGCGGAGCCTCAGATCAAGAAGCCGGGAAGCAACAGCGAAGAAGGGTAGGCTCATTTCCCGCCCCTCTTCCTCCTCCCCCTCGTCTCCCTCTGCCGCCGCCTCCTTCTCCTCCTCCTCCTGCTCAGTCTCCTCTCGCAGGTCTACATCGACTCGAGCTCCGAGGACGAGGCTCCTGACACAGACCTTCAAAAAGCTCATGAGGAGATGAACATGGTCGACTGGTGTTCGTTCCGAGTGAGGAGTCGCGTGTCCTCAAAGATGCATCGCTCCTACAGCAACGGTGAGGCTAATGCTTGTCAGTGCCCGTCGCCTCCTCCTCCTCCTTGCTGGCGTCTTGATGATCCTAACGCAGATGTCGCCGCTGCACACAAGATCGACTTCGACAGACACCCGCTCTGCTACCTCGCCGAGCGAGGACCGAGTGGAGGGGAGAGGCTGTAAGGAGGAGCCTCCACCAATGGATTGTAACAGATTGAGTTGTAAGAAGGAGAAGCATCACTGCCAAGTACTGCTGACTTGTCTTAATTTACACTGCGACTGTACATTGTGCTGGGTAGTTGCACTTAATCTTACAGATGGATGGGACGATACAAAGCTCGTCGCCCTGCAGCGCAGTGAGAGCAAGGAAAGGATCGACTAGCAAGTGAGAGTAAGGAAAGGGATCGCATACCGGCTGCAGCACGTTGTTGCTGATTCCGGAATTCACTTGCAGGATCTGACTGAGCGTCATGTAGAACCTGCGTGCAAGCAGGTCGAAGTAATCGCCGGGCATGACCCGGTAAACGACTCCCACGTTGATGGGAAGCGACTGGTTCAGACGAGCATCCGCGTTCGTCATGTCCTCCAGCCCCATCGGGTTCGCCATCCTCAGGTTCGATACCGTCGTCCCGTAAAGTGCCGCGACATCGCTCAGGCTCTGCGATGGCGCGACGCAGTATCGGCAAGTGGTCGTCATGAGGACGAGGTCCAACCTGTCGTAATACTTGTAGACTCTATTCGTTACCTCCTCGTTGGTCAGAAACACTGTCACTGCAACCTTTCCCCGGAAATCTGAAACCAGCGAAGTGGAATTCCAACCAAACTTGTAACACACGTAGTTCCCTTGCGAATCTGAGCGTGTCAGCGCGAAGCCTGGAGGTGGGCGCTTGGTGGGATCCATATACATGTACAATGAAGAACTACAGTCAGAGCATGAGGAGTTGTAAGCACAGATCTTGTAGGTCTCGGAGCATGCCGGATCTCCTGGAAAGAACGACAAGATCGAGTTGTTGAACATGCCGCCCTGCTGGTAGTCTGAAGCTGAGCAGACAGAGGCTGAAGGACAGCCGAAGTGAAGGTTGGGCCATGCCGAGCAGCTGGAGGACAGTCAGACAAGCAGCATTCGAGATGAAGGATGAGTTATGACCAACATGGAAAGAAAGGTGATCTATCAGAATCTACAGAAAGGTCGCGTGATGTTTGGCAACGTGGCGATATGAGGAGAGTGAGATGGTCATTTGCAAGTGAGGACGGGAGGAGCGGAGCCGCAAGTCCACCTGCATGCCAGCAGCATCAGCTGCAGCTGTAAGAGCCACGGCATGGCGCCGGTCGGGGGGTAAGAGCCGCGCTACTGGTAGCAACGAGCCCGCCTCATTTATGGTCCGGCGGCCTATGAGGCACTTGGATCGGACGCCCTGCACCGTCGCCGTACGGTCACGCCGCCCGGCCGTCACCGGTGCCGCCACAGTCACCCCGGCGCCCGGCCAGTGAGCGGCCCCGGCGCGGCCCCGGCCCACTGGGCCAGCTTGGGCTCAGCTGGGGCCACGCGGCCCGGCCGGTGGCACGGCAGTCACAGAACCGGTTAAACCGGTGCTACTCAGTCGGACTCCGCTCAGTGGCTCCGGCCCGCCGCCCGGGACTCTCAGTCATCATGCGGCCGCATGCCACCGTGCCACGGTGAGTCCAAGGCCACTGCCGGCACACTCAGTGACTAGCGACAGGCTGATTGGGTCTGGTCCGATCCCCCGCCGGCCGCACGGGCGGCACGGCCCCGCAACGCCGGCCAATGCCGCGACAGGCCCTCGGAGGCTCGGAGCCCGGCACTGCTAGTCACGGTCGCGGTCCGACCGGGCCGGGCCTCAGTCAGTAGTCACCGCTGCAGGTTGATCACAGGTCACGGCCACAGTCACGGTCGGACCGATCGGACGGTCGGACCGTGCGATCCGATCGGACTCCAGGACGGCCCCGCCCGGCGGCCGCCAACAATGCCACTGACTTGAACAATGCCAACTTTATTGCCAACTTTTACTGAAAGTTAAGTTAAGACCAACAATCATGAATGCCACTGAACTTGAAGCCTGCCGGGGGCCGGCTGGTGGCCGTCAGACGGTAGGCCCGGGTACTACTAGGCTTTGACGGTCGTTTACTCAAAGTTAAGTTAAAAATCAGTTGACGGTAGTTCTTTACTGAAAGTCTTTAGTCAATTCAATTGAAGCATGTACCCACCCCCTCGTCACGTGGTGCAGCGAGAGTCTGAAGGACCCCTCCATTTTACCTGATTACTACCGCCGGAGTGCGGCGATATAGACTACCCCTACCCTTAGAAAATACCCCAACGGGGTATGAGGGGTTGGCCCTACTGGAACAGGCAAGTTGCTACGGACGTTGAAAGGAGGAAGGCAGACGTTGAAGCAGAGAGAGGGAGAGAAAGAGGGAGAGAAAGAGGGAGAGGGAGAGGGAGAGGGAGAGGGAGAGGGAGGAGGGGAGAGGCGGAGGAGGCGATAGAGGGAGAGGGAGAGGGAGAGGGGTACGGGTAGGGGAGAGGTC